GGCAGGTGTTCTTTTAAGAGTAGTTTGCCATCCGCCTCTTCTACTACTTCTCTTCCGAATGCTTTCAAAGTTTGCCATAGAAAGAGTCAAGAAGCAGAAAATTCAGGGTCTGTCACGTGTTACAACTACATGCGCATTTGATGTGTTTTAGAACCATACATTATAGCGCCTATTTCTTGAGGAGTTACCTTGACATACTTGATATCATATTATCTAGTTGCTATCCGTATTCCGTGACTGAACGATATGGGTTGCTTTAAGACAGTTATTTATTCTACAATTGGTTTTACGAATAGTGAGCTTGGTGGCATAAATGCGAAAACGTTTTTACTATCCTGATAAATCATTATTTTCTGTTTCACACCATTCTTTCATTATGCTTATAATAAAGACCAAGACTAGATAACGACTTAGCTGCCGGTTCAATTAAGAATTTATCAGAGGACTTTTGACCATTTAAATCTTAAGCGTACACAGCTGGTTAATTGATGATTGTTTTTAATCGGGATTTCATGAAATCAAGATGAATGAATGAAATGCAATGAGAAAAGCAGATGGCAGTGCTGTCTAAAGTAAAGGGCACCTCCCGGCACTATTATCAACCAATGCAGGTCAGTTCTATGCAAATTTAGAATACCAATTCTTGACTTTCGCGGTTTTCTTACATTTTCCTGTGTGACAAATTATTGCATCATTACTTTGTTGTTAGTTTCTAACCAATCCAAGGCAATAAAAATAAGAGTAATGAATGCTGTACTGCCAATTGCTACAGTGGATACGTGGTACCAGTCGTAGCTAAGAATATCTATCAAAGACCCTGAGGCTCTGACATCTTCAGAATATCTGTAACAGTAACTAGAACACCACATCAACAGTCACCAGTTAAAATAACAGTTATTAGAATAGAAATACTTGAAACGCCAGCCCACTAATATTCCTAAATAGTAATGTTGCGAATCCATATGCCTGACCTTTACTGTGTTGTTTTCATACTTGCTTTCCGCTGTTGGTGTAAAGGCTAGATGTCAATGACACACACATATATGGAACTGTCCGACGTTCATCCGCAATATAGTGGTACAGAAATTTTGGGCTTTTAAACATTCACTTACGATTTCGTGCAAGACAATGAGGAGCATGTTTGCAGTAAGTCAGCGGCTGGTGAGAATTGTTTCACTGGTTCTTTTCCATTCCCGGTAGTCATTGCATACTTTTGAAAACTTGCACATATGGGTTCGAACGCTATAGCGTGTCAGCGATCGCATCTTTGGACTAGAGGTGCCCAAATACTGCCAAGCCATGGGTTTCCAGACACCTGGAAGCAATGATTGATGCAATGCGCTGTGAAGTTCAATTTTGAGAGCTATGCGTCTATAGAACTTGATGACAAATTATCCTTGCATGGCTGTTTCTTAAGACAGTAGATAGGTTTAAATCATTAGTACCAATCTTGCAGCGATATCGCTCAACCAACCTTCCTTCTAACAATCAATCAATGTTGAAGAAGTCATTTGGCTATCGCTTTAATAGTAATATTTCAGTAGAAACTGAGTGTAGATTTCTTAATCCATGGGTTGACATATAAAATGCTAAAGTTCGATTTCAATGCTCTGCTGGGCTACTAAAAATGACCAATGGCAAATTCTTTTATACTTAGTACAACATTTCGATTAAAAAGTGACAGTGCAAAATTGATACTAGACGCTGCAGTAGTAGCGACGTGTACGTTGTTGTTTTTGCCATAGATTACATCTGAGAAGATGATTATCTCTTTTGGTAAACAGATTACTGTACTTACTGAGGGTTCGAGAACCGCAACTTGACTCGTATTGATTGATAGATGTCAAGTGAGTCCCGTGAGTGTCGGGAGAGGTGCCAGGGTAGCTGTTATCGGTCTAAAAATGTCAAATGAGACGGCAACAGATGTCCTGTCCCTTTCGTCAAATGGTTTTGACCCGTAAATTCGCCTCGTTGGGAGACCTGTCAAATGTGTCCCTCATTTCTTTGCTTGTTGACAATGAACACTTTAGACGAGCAGCTGACGGAACGAATCGATCGATCGATTGATAGACGCTGCCGTGTACACACGACAGCCCATGAAAGACGGGAGTTCCCACTGTTGCTAAGCACGGCATATGCTCCTTGACGTGCCAGTGTTTCTGAGTCAGCTGTGTGCATTCGTCTGCTTCTGCTTGTCACTGTACCTTCTCTTCCAAAGAGTTCTGGAGGAGATTGCAACCGCTGTAGTGGCGATCGCAGCGCCCCCGATGGTCGACGGCGGCTGTGTGGTGGTCGTCAAAGCGCCGCCGCCACTGCCGTCAGGTAGCACACCGGTTCCTGCGGTGATGGCGGCAGTGCGGAGCGGAGAGTTGCTGATGCATGGCCAACAACCGACTGGCAACGTCGACACAGTGGTCATGTCTACAGACCCGTTCCACAACGAGTGGCTCCGCCGGAAGCAGCGCATCGCCAGCGGACAGCTCAAGGGATTCAATCCTGACTTGTGGCTTACGGCCTCGGCCGGTGCTCCAGATGATGGCCGGCAACAGACTAAGGGGTAAGTCGCTTATTGCGTTGAATTTCTCATTCATTCTATAACTCCTCTCACAGCGACCTCACCTTTCCGCGTCTCCCTGCCTTCAATGACCTTTTGCGGTGCTTCCACTGTCAGACCATGCCTGCTTTGCTTTTGAAGGTCAACAATCAACTCGTGAATATTTTTTGTCCTCTAAAAAATTACTTTTATTATTTTGTTTCCTGTTCTGTCATGTGCTAATATAATTCATGATTAACGTACCATTTCTTTTACATTGTTAAAAGTCTGCCGTACGGTCTCAAACTGTACTCATTCTTGCATTGGTGAATTAAAAGATGTGGCCAACTACATTTCAGATAGACGAAGACGTGAGGAACATGTTCAAACAGTGTTACTAGGTTGTTTCCAAAATTTTGACTATTCCACTCACGAAGGTAATTGATTTCTTCACTTTCTCTCACCATCGGTCAAGCCTACCCTGACCTTCTGTCTATCCTGACAGTGAACCGTCATTTTCTGTTCAGATTGTATTTAGTACAGCAAAAATTAATTTTCTCGAATTTTTTGGATATTAATACTCAGCTAAAAATGAGCCTCAGTTGCTACCTGGAAACAAAAAAAATGCCATCAAGCAGGAAGGAGTAATAAATGCTATTTTGCTCTAGAATGGCCAGAGGGAAGATCTGAAAAACTGTTGTCCAATCTGCCTCTTCTTAGCATTCTACAGGCTGTTTACCAAGATCATGGCCACCAGTTAGTCAACAAGTCTGGACCAACAGCAGCCAAGAGAACAGGCAGGATTCCGAAGGAGCTACAACGCAACGGAAAACATCCTTGCTCTAAGTCAACTCTCCGAACGCGAAAGAATTCCAGCTCCCGCTGTGCATAACCTTTGTCGACTATGAGAAAGCGCTTAACACCACTGCCGAGCATAATACAATGTGGACTGCGCTGGCAAAACAGTGCATCGACGCCCGTTATATGAATCCGCTGATGGAAGCAAATTCTGACAGCTTCACAAGCATCACATCTTCTAGTTGATATCATCTCCCCAAAACTCTTTGCTGCCTGTTCGGATACATTGTTCAGAAAGACAAACTGTAAGGGTAGGATTAACATAAGCTCAGCCACCTGAGCTTCACTGATGACATGACATTGTTTGCCGAAAACGTCAGTCAGCTACAAGACATACTGCAAGAACTGGACGGCGACCGTGCAAAGGTCGGA